ATCAAATTATTAGAGAGCATTGGAAAAACCCTGCAAGATATAGGTACCAGCAATGACTTTTTGGAAAACACCCCAGAAGCATAGGCAGTCAAAGCCAAAATTAACATTTGGGATTGCATCAAATTGAGAAGTTTCTGTACTGCAAAAGAAACAGTCAGGAAAGTGAAGAGACAACTGACAGAATGGGAAAATATATTTGCAAACTATGCAACTGATAAAGGGTTGATAACCAGAATCTACAAAGAAATCAAGAAACTCCACAAGATCAAAACAAACAACCCGCTTAAGAGATGGGCCAAGGACCTCAATAGACATTTTTCAAAAGAGGAAATCCAAATGGCCAACAGACACATGAAAAAAAAATGTTCAAAAATTGTTTTAAAAACTGAATAAACTAAAAAGCATATCACATAATAAAATTACATATATAAACAAATATGCATCTATGTAAGCAATGAAAATTTACTGTATTATTTGTATGTATGTATATATGTGTGTATGTATATATGGTGGTATACCAATTCTAATTTTTAAACTGTACATCCTATTCCACTTCTTTCTGGATATCTAAAATCAACAAGGAAATGGTAGTATCAGTTAATTTTTAATAATTGAAAATATTAGGAATTCAATGGAATTTGGAGAAGGGTGAGATTACTTCCTTCTATGATCATAGAAGAGGTAGCATTTGAAATGTGCTTGAATTTGAGGCATCAATCTGCACATAAGGCAATGTGGGTAACATCAAGGTAGATAAAACTTCATGAGAAAAGGAGAAAGCCAGTCAATTTTTGACTATATCTCTGCTTACCTGTTACTCATTGAAAATGCTTACTTCTTTATATCATCTTATTAATTATGTTTTCTGGACTTTATACTAGTTATCCTATTTCAGTTACACACTCTTTATATTTGGGCATTTGCTGCTGGTGCTGGGACTATACAACAAATATTTCTTCTTGGCCAAATGGTCCTATGTTTGGATTTGCCAAAATGAGGCACTTGGTGGAGACTCTCAAGCTAAAACAAGTGATAGAAACAATTTTTTTTTTCTCTTTTGCTCCCACTCCTGACAGTATCACTCCATTCTCTGTTCATCACTCTGGCAGTAACAGAGTTTTTCAGAAGCAACAGGTGCATCTGTTACAGACAAAAGACCAAAGAAACCAAGCAGTACTCAAGGTTTCTCGAAGAGAGGCATGCAATATATTTACACATGTGGGCTCGACTAGACTCATGTCTCAAGAGTCCAGCACCCATCCTTTGTCTTTCTCTACTTTTATACCCTAAATTAGCAAGGCAGTAACAAGGCACAGAACTATCTTATCTTGGGTATGTGACTAGGCTTTTATGGCAGGTGGGGAAAGGGTTTCGAGAGTCAGCATTGACCTGTTTCAGACCCAGCTGGCCCTTTAATAACAAGTGGGAGGGAGTCTGTAGCATTCCCTCAAACTGGCTCCTTAATGGCAAGTGGGATGGGGTTTCCAACAAATCTAGTTCAATTTTTTTCTAAAATCTGGCCCCTAGGTGCACCAGCTCCAGTCAGGATCCACCTGCTCTAATGCCTAGGATCCAGACTCATGGTGCCCTCCTCCAAGCTCAATGGGCTCTGGCACCAGCCTGGCAAAGCTACCTCCTCAAACCCTGAATTGTACTACCCAGAATCCCTTCTTATTCAAACTGCTAATTTTTAGCCATTCAAATCATTTTTTTATTCTTCTGCCTTAGGAATAGTGGCTACTTTTTAACAACGCTGCTTCTATGATATCTTAGAGTTCTCACATTATCTTGTTTGATACCTACCTAACAAATCTATCCCTGCTAAAAAATTGGTGTCGGTTCCTGACACAACTCTGATGAAAAAATATTTTAGTCCAAATTTTGTCTTTGACTTCCATCTAAAAGGTTTTTTTTTTTTTTGTGGTAACAAGGCAAAACATATTTACATTATTCTGTTGGAGTATTCATTTATTGAACATTCATTCAATATGTATGATGTAGCACATACTGTGTTAAATTAGGGGGATACAAATAAGAGTGAGATCCAGTTTCTCTCTCCAAAGAACTCACAATGGCATAAGGGAAGACAAAAGCAAATATATTATTGTAATTGGAAGCTTTCAAAGTTATGATAAAAGACAACAAAAATAACACAAATTAGAGAGTAGTAAATATAAATTTAAGGGAGCTGAGGATAAATAGTTTTACTGAGTAAAATAATATGCAAGTCTTTGCAGAGATGTCTGAGAAAGTCCAGATTTGGGAGTGTGAAACTTGAATTGTCTAGAAGATTTCTAAGCAGAATGTGCAGTAGATAGCTGAGTATAAAGTCTGGAACTTTGACTGAGGTCCTGATTGACAGAAACAGATAACTTATGGATAGTGTAAAAACCATTATCTAGGGAAAATTATTTGTGTTATAGTGTACTGTGCTGTAATTAAAGGTAAGTATTCTTTTCAAAATAAGTTGAGGCAGTTGAAATAGGATGCTGCACTTGTACAAAGTCCAAGTTGCATATAGAAAAGGAGGCCTCATAAAGGCAGCCTTCTAAGCTAACTACAGGGTATAGCTTTCCTTGTATATAGTTTTACTGATAAGAAATTAAGTACACTGAAATATCACCTTCCATAACTTTATAAAACCTGAAATAAATATGACTTCACAGTAAACTTATAAGAACTATGAGGCCATAACATTAATCAGAACTGACTTTATTTTGAAATCTCCATATTTTCAAATGAAATAATCATGTCACCTTGAACTTATTTTATTAACAATATATTCAGAGTGTTGGCAACAGTTTTCAGGTGTGTGATTACTCCGATCAGATATATTGTGCTATAATTATTTTCTAAAATAGTCTTAGAGTTGTATTTAAGGGCTGCATTAATTCTCTCATAATTATGCCATATGGGATATTTAAGACACAGATGATAGGATTTTATAGCCAAGGGGATTCACAGAGGGTACATGGAATCCAGAGACCTTACATGTACAACTCATTTGCACAATGGATAAATAAACAAATAAATAAGGCTGTAAAACACACCTCCTGTCATCATGCAGATGACTTCTAATAGAAATATCATTATAGTCAGTGTCAAAATTCACAGCTATGTAATTGGTTAATTCCTTGATTATATGATTATCAACTCCTCTATTGTCAATTACATCTTCCACTAATCAGGTTTTTATTTTATGGTGATCTGACAACAAATGATGATTATTTAATTTTATATACACATTTCTCAATCATGAGGTCACATACCTTTCATGTTTCTAATCTTCTTCTTTGATATATTAATGTTTTATTAACCGTATGTCCAAAAATTTTAAATTAGCATATTTTATTCAATGGTTGTTAACTAGACACTAAAGCATTTTTTAGTGTAAATAGGAATAAATAATGGATTAAATGGACATTTAATAGACTCAAAAATCCCCTAAGAGATCATTTACAATGTATTGGAGACAAGTTACATATGCTCCTCCATGCATTTTTATAAAACAAGTCTTGCTTACATCACTTATCTTTGTGCACATTTATCAAATCACACAACAAACTTAAATGTAAAGAGAACATAACACTTGAGAAATTTAATCAAACAGTATAATTTAAGGCACCGGTAATTCTACGGTATTTAAACATCATAAAAATGGGAACAGTTGACCACTTTCAATATATACACATTTGGCCAGGTTATGGTGCAGTGGTTTAAAGCCTCTGCCTGCGACACTGGCATCCCACATCAGAGCACCACCACTTTGAGTCCTGACTGCTCTGCTTCCAGTCACACTACCGCTAACATAGCTGGGAAAGCAGCAGAAGATGGCTCAAGTGCCTGGACCCATGCCATCCATCTCAGATACCTGGATAGAGTTCCAGGCTCCTGCCCTCAGGCTAACTCAGCCTCAGCTGTTCCAGCCATTTGGACAGTAAGGTAGCAGGTAGAAGATTCTCTCTCTCTTTCTCTCTCTTCCCCATTATTTTAAATAAGTAAAATAAACCAACAAACAAAACAAACTACAAATACATAGATAATCATCATGATGAATCAGAGAAGCATGACATCAGTAAAGGCATGAAAGTAATCTCCAACAACAAACCCTAAAGAAATGGAAATCTCCCACTACCTAATGTTATTCTTTCACAAACACAAAATAAAACTAAGCCCAAGTTAGAATGAAGAAAATAATAAATATTAGAACTGAAATAAATAACACAATTTAAAAAAATAAACAAATCTTTTATTTTTTAAAAGACAAAATTTACAAACTCTTATCCAGACTAATTAATGAAAAGGAGACGTGATGCAAACATAAAATCAGAAATGGAAGAAGACACCATACAATAACTGCCATGAGAATTTTGAAAAAAGATTATAAGGGACATTAAGAAAATTGTATTTTAATAAATTGGAAAATACAGCAAAAATTGATAAAATCATAAAAACAATCTACCATAAGCAGATAAGTAAAAGAAAATTCCTTGTGCCTGAACATATCAATAAGAAATAAGGATACTGACAAAGAAATTTTTAAAAACTGAATTGATGACTGATGATATTTAAACAAAAGTTATCACTAACCCTTTTTAATCCCTACCAAGAAAAGCAAAAGGGAACACTTCTTAACTTTTTATGAGGCCTTCATCACATTGATACCAAAGCCAAACACCACAAGAAAGAAAACTTTAGGTTAACATCCCAGATGAACACACACACACACACACACACACACTCACATTCCTCAATAAAGCATTAGGAAACAAAATTGAAAAGGCACATTAAAAGGATTATATACCATTGCCAATTATGTCCCAGTAGGATTTACCCTAGTAGGCAAGCATGGTTCAATGTGTGCAAATTAATCAATAGAATATATCATATTAACAGAAGGAGGGATATGAATCACTTGATCTTACCAAAAAGTCTTCAGATAAAATTCAACATAATTTTCATAATTAAGTTGCCACAAATTAAGGATAGAAAGAACTTACCTCAGCATAAAAATGTCCATCTATGGAAAGCCCACAATAACACATTCAGTGATGAAAAACAGAAAGCTTTTCTTCCAGTATCTGGAACAAAGAAAGTATGTCCATGGCTACCATTTAACATAGTACTTACAGTTCTAGCCAGAACAATTAGGCAGCAAATAAACAAAAGTCTTTTAAATCAGAGAGAAGTAAATTTTTTTTGTATAACTTGCTTTTTCTTTGTAAAAACAAAAACCTATAGACTATACATACACATATAAAATGTCAAAATAAACATATTTCATTTTTATTTTAACTAATTTAATTTAAACACTTTCAATATGATTTGCAGATATGACTCTAGGAACATAATGATATTCCCCTCCTCCATCTCACCCTGCCTCCCACACTCCTTTCTTCTACTTCTCTTCTTTTTTTAGTTTTTGGGATAACATTCTACATCTATATTACAGTAAAAAGGTTTAGTACTTCACTGAATAAGAAGTTTAACAAGAAAAAAGCAAAAAGACCCAACTTTTGTGGGAATATACACAACAGCTATAAATAATAATTTAATGCATAAATGATCATTTCACTCCACATACAATTTTTTTGTTCATTTAATCATTCATAATGTATTTCAATGAAATAGAATCAATGACAATGTAACATCTAAGTATTTCCTGTGTGGCTATAAGATAATAATTAAACTCATTTAGACTTTAAGCCACTTTCTCTCAACAGTTTATACATAGGAATAATTTTATGCAGATTGCAATGCAAATAATTTTACATTATATTTTTTGCACACTATTAGCTACCACAGATCAAGGAAAACAAATGATATTTGTCTTTTGGGGACTGGCTTATTTTACTAAGTATAATGGTTTCCAGATGCATCCATTTTGTTAGGAAAGAAAAGATTTCATTCTTTTAATGACTGAGTAGTATTCCATAGCATATATGTAGCACATTTTCTTAATCCAATCATCGGTTGATGGGCATCTGGGTTCATTTCATATCTAACAAATGAATTCAATAAAGTTACGGGCTACAAAACCAATTTGAAAAATGAATTGCGCTTCTGTACAATAGCTATGAATTATCTGAAAAGGAAATTAAGAATGCAATCCCACTTACAGTCATATAAAAATAAAATACTTGAGATTAACTTAACTATGGAGATGAAATGCTTGTCACTTAAAATGATGAATCCATCATGAAAGAAATTAATGTAAACACAAATAAATAAAATAATAGCTATGTTCATGAAATGGAAGAGTGCTTTTATTTTTTTTATTTTATTTTTTTTTATTTTTTGACAGGCAGATGGTGATCTGAACAATGAACTCAATCCCAGTCAAAATCTAAAGTTAGTATTTACATAAATAGAAAAAGTAATCCTGAAATTTATATAGAACCATAAAAGACCCCAAGTAGATGAAGCCACTTTGAACAAGAAGTGCAAATTGGGAGGCACAGAACTATCTCATTTAAAAAGTCCATTACAAAGCTACTGTAATCAAAAGAGCATGATATAGATAGAAAAGCACATATTTTGACAAATGGGATGGACTAGAGACCTCATAAATAAATAAATATACATATAGTTAACTTATCTGTGACAAACTTGTCAAGAAAATATCATTATGCTGGCGCCGCGGCTCAATAGGCTAACCCTTCGCCTAGCGGTGCCGGCACACCGGGTTCTAGTCCTGGTCGGGGCGCTGCATTCTGTCCCGGTTGCCCCTCTTCCAGGCCAGCCCTCTGCTGTGGCCGGGGAGTGCAGTGGAGGATGGCCCAAGTGCTTGGGCCCTGCACCCCATGGGAGACCAGGAGAAGCACCTGGTTCCTGCCTTCGGATCAGCGCGGTGCGCCGGCAGCAGCGCACCAGCCACAGCGGCCATTGGAGGGTAAACCAACGGCAAAAGGAAGACCTTTCTCTCTGTCTCTCTCTCTCTCACTGTCCACTCTGTCAAAAAAAAAAATATTAGGAAAGCACAATTCCTTCAAAAGAGATTTTTGGAAAACTGGATATCTAAAAGGAAAATAATTATATTGGATCCATATTCTCACACCATGCACCAAAATGAACTCAAAATGAGTCAAAAATTTAAACCTAAGACTTGAAACCAAACAACTCTGAAAAGAAAACATGAAAAAAAGCATTGCAATGCTGGCTGTATTCATGATTTCTTGGACATGACATCAAGAGCACAGACAATAAAACCTAAAATAGACATGTAGGATTGCATCAAATTAGAAAGCTTCTGCCCATCAAAGAAAACAATAGGCAAAATGAAAATTCAACCTACAGAATGGCAGAAAATATCTATAAACTATAGATTTGAAAATAGTTAATATCTAAAATATGTAAATAAATTCTACAACTTCATAGCAATGCCACTACTATTCCTGGTAATATCTCAATTTAAAAATGATGAAAGAACCTGACCAGACACTACCAAAGAATATACACACAAAAATGGCCAACCAGTATATGAAAAATTGTTCAGTGTCATCAATTCTAAGAGAATTGCTAATCAGAACCATTTATGAGATATCATCTCACACCTGTGGGAATAACAAATATTGGCAAGTATGTGGAGATAAGGGAAATCATGTACTACACTGTTGGTGTGAAAGTAAATGGGTGCAGTAGCTATGAAAATCAGTATAGATTTTTTCTCAAAAAGTAAAAGATACAACTGCCATAAGAACAAGCAATGCCACTTGCATATATAAATAAAGAATTAAAATCAGGATCTTCAAGAGATGTTTGCACTCCCATGTTCATTGCTGCATTATTTACAACACAAAAGACAAAATGTGTGTCAACAGACAAATGGATAAGGAAAATGTGACATATGTAAATAGATACATACAATTTTAAACATACTATATATATTTGAATTTTGTTTCACCTTACAAAAAAAAAAAAGGAAATCTTGCTATTCAGAAAATATGGATGATTCTGGAGGACATTGTGAGAAGAGAAATAAGTCAAACACAAAAAGACAAATACAGTCTGATGCCACTTATAGAAGGAAAGCTAAAATAGTCAAACTCATATAAGGAGAGTAGGATGGTGGTTAACAGGTACTTGGAGATGCAATAATAGGAAAGTATTAGTCAAAATTTACAAAATTTTTGATATACGGATAAATAAGTCCTAAACATTCAATGTACAGTACAATGTCTATAGTTAACAATACTGTATAATCTTTTTAAAAAAAAACATTTTTCAAAATTTAATTATTTATTTGAGAGGCAGAATTACAGAAATTGATGGGGAGACAGAGATAAAGAGAAAATGAGAGAGAGAGATTGTTCATTTATTGGTTCACTCCCCAAATGGCCATAACTGCTACGGCTAGCACAGGCCAAAGCCAGGAGACTGGAACTCCATTCAGGTATCCTATGTAAGTGGAAGGGGCCCAAGCACTTGAGCATCACCGATTGCCCTCCCAGGTGCATGAGCAGGAAGCTGGATTGGAAGTGGAGTAGCTGGAATTTGACCTTAAACTCTGTTATGAAATGCAGGTGTCCCAAGCAGTGTTATCCCAATGTGACATTACACCTACCACAATACTGTATTCTTAAAAATTTGCTAGGAAGATATATTTTATTTTTAGTGTTCTTATCACAGTAATAATAACAATGATAAAAGTGTGGTAGAAAATTTTTAGAGGTTATACACAGGTTTTTGGCATAGATTGTTTTGACAATATCATGAGTGTACACTTATCTCCAAACTTATCAAGGTGTCTATGTTAAATATGTATAACTTTTTGAAAGTCAATCATATCACAAAAAAGTGGTTTAAAATATGTATTTATATTTATAGTCATAGTTTGTAATCCTGCACTCAACCAACATGAACATTTAATAGCATAACAATAATTCTGGAAGGAGATAAAAAGGACATGTTTCTCAGGAGCAAATCATCATCAACTCCATGAACCTTACTCTGCAAAACTTCCATAGAAACACCCTTATGTCTTCATTTAAGCAAATTAGAAAATAACAGAACAGAACGGATAAACCAACAGCTGCAAAGGAACTGGTGGTTGAAAGAATACTATAAAAACATAGTAATCTACTATACTTTAGTTTAAGGAAAAAATTATAAAAGATCGTTCAACAAACCCTGCACATATTATTATATCAAAGTAGACATAATATCCTATAAAATATACGAATTTTTCATATAGATGATTTATCACCCTTTGTCATTTTTAACTTTAATCATTTTGTAGAAGACTTTTCCAATATTTTAATATTTCCTGGTTTTCTTTAATGAATAAAAATTAAATCTATATCCCACTCTATAAAAACATACTCATCTAACAAGGTTATTTCTTCAATATTCTGTTAATATTTAGGGCAATGTTACAGACTTACTGGTTAACATCTTATAAAACCTATATACAACATTTTAATGGCTTCATACATTTATGAATTTATCATGCATGTGGCCAATATTTAATATTAATTACATATAATACCTTCTAACAGCAGAAAGTAAAGGTAAAACAAGGAGCTGCTCAAAGCTGTATTACTCAAGAGTAGCTGCTCATACATTACAAATAACATTTTCCAACTTCAGTCTTTACACTTTGACACTTGCTTTTACTTGATTACTTGTAAGTGGTTTGTAAAACAACAGCATTAAACATGAGCCCCTATAATATTAATTATCACTTACAAGCAATTAATCATATTTTTTCTTTAACTAGTTATTTCTCAATGGCAGTATTAGTTTTACTCATTAATAAAATTTCTTCCTGGAGATTTCTTTATTTTTAAGAGACTCTTAATTCTCTCCTATTTGCCTATTCAGAAGAAGAGATTTAGCAAAGAGGAGGCGTCCGGTTAATTATCAGCCAACAGATTAAGTATATTTGAGGCATGAAGTGATTTCTACTCTCAAGGACCTCACAATGAAATAAAATATCATATTGTTCCTAAGTTATTTTATATAAAAGTATGCAGAAGAAATAAAAGAACAAGCATTTCAAAGCTCTCATAGGACCCATTAAACTCATAGACAGGTACATAAACTTAAATAACTGTGCTCACACAGAAAGTTCACACATATC